AAATTTCCTTATTCTTTGCTCCCACAGGCCCCTAGCACATAGATCATCGTCTCACAATAGCCCGTATTTTAAATGTTTACTATGCCCTTCGGATCTCAGCTCAGGCAGCCTTCCTCTAGAATCTAGACAGCTTTCCCGACCACACGCCCCTGGATCAGGAGGTCTCTCAGCTCTGGAGTCTGACCGCTCTGGAGTGACAATGATGGATCATGTGTCTCCCAGCCCAGCAAAAAGCCAGTACGGCCTGTCTACTGAATGAATGGAAGAGCAAATATGGTGTATGCGTGGGTTAGTAAATAGACGGATGAATGTCCACTTTAGTTAAAACGACTCCTTTAGCCAAATTCCCATGTCACGCTTCCAGACGCCAGACTTTGCCCCGAGTCACGCCCCTAACCTAGGCCTATTCCCCGGAGTACAACTGGGACAAACCAATGACCTAAACAGATGAAAAAAGCACCCCTCACTTCCCAGGACGGGAGGGAAACTGAGGCACGAGGCGGAGTTTGAGGAATGAAGCCACCCAAGGATGGTTTGGCAAATGACCCGGTCAAGTTTTTCCTCAGCTCTCCCCAGTTCCTCTCTGTCCTGGCATGCCCCGCCCAAATCACTCCCGTTACCCACACTATTGGCTCGTCTAGACGTCAGTCTCCTCGCTCTTTTCCTCTATTGGCTAATATTCCCAAATCAAGCGCGGGCACTTTGTACCGCCCTTCACCCCATGCCCGTCCTTACTATTGGGCTACTCGTATGCCCCTCTCCAAGGAACCCTCCCTATTGGTTTCAAGACTTTGCCGGTTCGGGCTGTGATTGGTTGTGAACAGAAGCCCATCTCCTGAGCAACCACCTGAGAAGGGTTAGAGAATGGAAAGGTTGGAGGGACGTGGGGTCAGACTCACGCTGGGCCGGCGGGAGGCAGATATAGGTCTTGAAGAACTCGCTTCGGCGGGCGGCCTCCTTAATGCGGTTGGCAAGCGGCTTGCTGACCTGCCGGATGCCCAAGTATAGCAGCTTCGCCATAGGGAACGCGCCCACCACCATCTTGGCTGCCGCAAGGGGCACACGCAACCTTGCTGACTGGGAGGGGCGCCTCAAAACGCTCCCTCCTCCCCCGCCCTCTCGTCGCCGTGCGTGCGTACGTACGCGCGTACGCCCCGGGAAACCGCTGGGGCGCTCCATGACGTCACGGCGTCGACGCTGACGCTCCGACGTCCATTCGATGAATATGCAAATATACGGCGGAAGTGAGGCTGTCAGAGGGTGGTGCCGTTAAACGGCTCCGCTGCAACCTATATGCGTTCCCACGCCCGCTTTAGCTGACGTCATTGCCTTCCTCCGTGACGTCGCGTACCTGGGCGGCTTCTCCAAAGGAGCAGTCTTAATTAGTCCTAGTTAGGGCTCAGCAGTCCCAAATGCCCCTTCTCTCTCAGTTTATTTTATTTATTTATTTTTTCTCCCTCAGTTTAGAGCTGTCAATGGTCGTAAGAAACTAGCCATGTAGTGAGAAACTAGAAACTAGACCTGTAGTGAGAAACTAGAAACTAGACCTGTAGTGAGATCCCAGCGCCACGGTTTACTTGCTGTGTATGGCGAGTGACTTAACCTCTCTGAGTATCAGCCTTCCCATCTACAGAATGGGAATCATAAGAAGGCACATTCCTTATTAGGTTGTTATGAGGTTTGCATGAGAACCTTGAATATAAATGCTTAATGAGTGAACTATGTTAAGTGTTTAGAATGATGCAAATCACCCAATAAACAGCCCTTATAGCTGCACAGGTATTAGCATTCTTATTGCTAACTTCAACGTGAGGGTGCATTTTATCTCCAGAAACAGCTATTTTCAACCCTTTCCCAAGTAACAGACAAACAGGCCCCAAAAGGGGCCAGGGGAGTGGCACGAGGTCTCTCAGCCAGGAGAAGTTGATAACCCAGTCTCTTGGCTAATAAACTTACCCTTTCTCAAGCAGACCCACTTCCTCCGTTGGGGAGGAGGGTCCCTAGGGAGCTGGCTCAGGAAGGAGTTTAAAGAACATGTCCCAGACTGTCATCCCTTACCAGCGGGGAGCAAAATCATGTAAACAAGGTCGTCTGAGAGAAATGCCTGGGTGGTGGAGTGCTAATGGGTAATTGAGAGATTCTCGAAGAGGCAGAGGGCTAGGGAAAGTCCACGGAGCAGAGTTGTGTACAGAAGGAAACAAACGTTCAGGTCAGAGTCGGGGGACCCAGGGCTTTCCTCGGCAACCACTTGGACTCCCTGTGTGTCTTTTGTCACTTCCCTGGCCCTGAGGACCCCCATTTCTCCATCTGTGATAATGGTGATACTGACATGTATGAACCCTGATGTTCTAAATTACTAAGAATGCCAAGACTCCATAAAAACAACTCCTCTCCAGGATCCCTGTTGGACTGAAGGTGTGAAGGAGCTTGGGACCTATTAGAGATCCATCACTCACTCACTCGGAACCATCTGCTCCCTCATGTTACAGACTGACCAACTGAGGCCAGAGAATTGACAAGGATTTATCCAGAGTTCCATGGGTAATCAGGAGAGAAACCCCTTGGGTTTCTTGAGTCCCAGTCTAGAGTCTTCTCCTGATCCCTGGGGGTGTTAGCCTGGGGTCCAAGAACCTACTTGGGAGTGGGGCTGAGGTTCCACTTGATGCATTTAGGAAACTTCTAAATTTGTACATGATTTTTTGGTGTATAATTCACTACTGTTTCCTCAGCTCCTAGAACAGTTTCTGGCATACTGTAGGTGCTCAATACTTATTGAATCAATGGGCATGAGCATTTGGTGGAGGGGTAGTGTTCAGGCTTTCATCTGACTCCCTGAGGGGCCCATGTTCAGAAAGCTTCTGGCTCCCTACATGTCCAGCCTGGTAGCTGTACTGGAATGAGACAGGGTGGGAAAATTACAACCCCCCACCCCCCTGCCAGATCCAAGGCCTCCCTCTTTTCTTTCTCCCACAGCACCAGAGCCCCAACTTCCTGCATCTCAGTGACCCAACCCTCCTCCTGCAAAAAACTTGTCCTCATTAAGTTCTTTTTTTTTTCCCCCTCATTCCCCTCCTCCCTCCTCTTTCTTTCTCTCAGGAACCTCTTCTGGGAACTTTCAGGGCAAGGGTGTATTTATGCCCGTGGGGGGTGGGGTGGGGGATGTGTGTGTGTGTGTGTGTGTAGGCTTCACATCTCCTTAGCCTGGAGCCTCTTATACACCCAGAGGGGTCAAGGCCTATCCAGAGCTGGGTGTTTCCTCCTCCTGCTCTCCAGTCTGGTTCTGGAAGGACAGCCATTCCTGGTTGACCCCTGAGGGCCAGGGGAGGGAGGGGAACGCCATTAGCCAGGGCAGCAGCCTTGACCACTCTGGGGCGTGGGAACAGAGGCAGAGGCAGGGAGGGGAAAAGGAACCCAGGATGGTCTCAGCACTGACTCACCGGCTGTGTGACCTTGGGCTAATGACTTGGCCTCTCTGGTGAATAGTGCCTGGGATCATTCCCAGAGTTCCTTCTAATTCAGGTCCTCTGGTCACCCTTTTCCCAGGATGGGCAAGGGACTAGGGTTACACAATCCCACAGGGCCTTGTATTTCTTCCATCATTGGATTCCTTCAAGAGAAATCCCAAAGCTGACACCGATCTTTGCTTGCTCCACCCTGACCCTGGTCCAGCTGTCAGCATCTCCCGCCTGGGCTTCTGGCTTCTGCCTTTACTTCCTCTATTCTGTTCCCTACTCAACAGCTTGGGACTCCTGTTAACATTTAAGTCAATCCCAAATGTTCTTTGCTAAGAGCCCCTCTGTGGTTCCCATTTATCTTGGAATAAAAGGCAAGGTCCTCGCATGGATTCACAATGCTCTGGGACATCGGCGCCTGTCCCTACCTGTCTCATCTCCATTCTTAATGTCCTCCCGCACCTTCGCTCCCACCACACTGCTGTGTGTACTTGCTGGCCCTCAAAATTCAGGCACTCTCTTACTCCAGGGCTTTCCACCTGTTGTTCCCTCTGCCTGCAGTGCTCTCCCAACTGACCCCTCACCTCCTTCAGGTCTTTTCTCAAATGCCCCCTTCTCAGTGAGCCCTCCCCACTCTCCTGATCTATATCAGACTCCATGTCATTTTCTGTCCTCTCAATTGGCTTTATTTTGCTCCATTATCCTTACCAATTCCATTTTTTTTGGCTGCACCACACAGCATATGGGGTCTTAGTTCACCAACCAGGGATTGAACCTGTGCTCCTTGCAGTGGAAGTGTGGAGTCTTAACCACTGGACTGCCAAGGAAGTCCTTCGATTCCAAATTTAATATTTATCTTTATTTACTCATTTACTGTGAGCTCCATGATGGCGGGGCCTGGGCTGTCTTGGTCACTGTTTGTTTATACTGGCCAGCATAGGTATAAATAAATCTCTCTTGAATGAATAAATACCCTTCTCTTGTCCTGAGCCCTGTTCCCAAGCCTATCCTGCTCCCTGCTCCTCCAGACAGTTGACCAATGGCCCTTTATTTGGATTCTGACACGCTCCCTCCTCCTCCTCAGGCCTTACTTGGAGAAATCTGTTTATCTGCAAACTCCAAAATGCTCTGTCCTGCTCTCTCTCTACTCTATATGTCCAGGGGCTTCCCAAAGATAAAACTGATTGTTCAATACTCAATGAATTTCTCCTTCCACTTTCCCCTTGAATCACAGACTTTTACTCCCTTATTGGAAATAATCCTAACTTCTTTGTCTTTACCTTCTGGAAAATTAATCTATTGGTCCCCTCCTCTAGGAAGCCCTTTCCATCCCCCAGACTGCGACAGAGGTCCTCTTGGGTTCCCCCAGCCCCTGGGCTACCCTGCCTGAGCCCTGCCCACTCTGGAGCATCACCCTCCCGGGATAGCTCTGTCTCTTCCATTGGAATGGGAGCCGTGAGGACAGAGCCAGAGCTGCCATTTGTCACTGCCGGGTCACTAACACACCCAGCACAGGGCTTGGCACAGTTCTACTGAATTGTCAGAAGGTCATGGCAGAGGATGATGGCTGATCAGTGACACATCAGCCTCACTGTTTACCTATTTTCTTACATTTTATGAATAGTATCAGGGCCTTATTTACATACAATTTGCATACACTGGGCCAGAAGGGAAGGGAGTGGGAGATTAGACCGGAGGAGTGGGGGCTCTGCAGGATTCGAGGTTCACTGTGCCGGGGGCAGCATCTTCAGCTGCACCTGGTCCCCCTGGGTGGGCGGAGCTGCCCCCCAGCCGGCAGCCATGGCCTTGGCCATGCTGTTCCTCTTGGAAGTGAGCGGGGTCTCCAGGGTGAGCGAGGCATTGGCCATCTCCTGGGGCTTGTCGCTGGCCAGAAAGCGGAGCAGGTGGTGCAGGCCCTTGGCCACGTCACTGCGGGCGCCCTCATTGACGAGGCAGTAGAGGATGGGATCAGCCACGCAGTTGAGGCTGGTGAAGGCCAGCGAGCTGTGATATGCCGAGAAGACTCGCTCCTCGAAGCCACAGTCCCGGGGGCGGCGCAGGTAGACAGCGCTCCTCGACAGCAGGAGCACGTGGTAGGGTGCGAAGCAGACCAGCACGATGGCGATGAGGCTGAGGGCCAGCCTCTTGATCTTGACCTTCTCCTGGCGCTCGGTGGACACGCTGCCCCGCACGGCCCGCAGGATGCCGCGGTAGGACAGCAGCATGAGGGCCCAGGGGAAGAGGAAGCCCACGAAGACCCGGTAGAGGTTCATCCAGGCCACCCAGCCCTCCATGGGGAACTTCTCGAAGCAGAAGGTGTGGTTATAACGGTCGCGGAAGAGCTCGTCATGGAACAGGGGTGCCGAGTTGGCGCCCAGCTCCGTGGCCCAGACCACGGAGCTCACGGCCACGGCCGTCTTGACACGGCGCAGGCGGGTGAACCGCAGGGGGTGGGCCACGGCCAGGTACCGGTCCACCGAGATGCAGCACAGGAAGGCGATGCTGATGTAGATGTTGGTGTAAAAGATGAACCCGAAGAGCTTGCAGGAGCCGGGGCCGTGGATCCAGTTGTCGTGGTGCAGGAAGTAGTCCACCCACAGTGGCAGCGTGCAAATGTACAGCAGGTCAGCGATGCTGAGGTTCATCAGGTACACGCCCAACTCGTTGCGTTGCCGCACCTGGCGGTAGGCGGCCCACAGGGCCAGGCAGTTGGTGGGCAGCCCCACGCCGATGACGAAGATGTAGAGGGAGGGTGGGAAGAGGTGGTCCACACGAGAGTCCACGTGGCAGCCCTCCAAGGTGCGGTTGCCCATCCTTGGCACTGGGTCTTTTGGGGTGCTTCCCCTGGCCCACAGGGGCTGTGGGGCCACGGGGGGCGGGAGGCCATCAGGCCTCCCTGAGCCCCCTCCTTGGAGGCTCAGGGGAACATGGTGGGAGGCAGTTCACGGGGTTAGAGGATGAGGTGGGCTGTGAATCGTGGGCCAGGCTAGGCAGGGAAGGACAGAGGCTTCAAAGGGAAAAGTTGGAGAAGGGATAGAATTACAACAGGAGGGAGGTTTGGGGGTGGCAGGATTAACAAAGAGCTTTGTCAAGGAGGTTTTATAGACCCAACCAGAACTTAAATGGGAGAGTACTGGGGTAACACACGATTGACCAAGGGGAGTGTTTATACGGGAGAGATGAAGGCATCAGTGGGCAGTGGTGAGAGACAGAGATTTGTGGAGGATGTAGAAAGTAACCATGGCTATGCTGTAGTAACAGTGAGGTGAAATGTCCAAGAAGACGTAGGAAATGTATGGGATAGTGTTGAGATAGGGCAGTCCACAGTTTGGGAGTGGAGAAGACCAGGCCAGATGGATAGGGGTGCTGACACCTCCTAGGAACCCAGTAAGAAATATGGAAATAAGGGAGGTAACCAAAGAGGAGAAGACTACAAAAAAAGGGGGTGTCCTATGAGGGATGAAAGATAGGGAGGACTTCGTCTGGGGAATGTGGGAAGGGTTTTAAAGAAACAGGAAGGTGGTGAGTAAGGGCTCTGTCAGCACAGGGTTACCAATACAGGAAACTTAACGGGGACATGGGAGGGGCTCCAGCTCGGTCCTGGTGGGGGCTGAGCAGTTGAGATGAGGTGGCCCTGCTTCACAGTTCAGAGCTGACTCTGCGGTACCTGTGGGGAAAGAGAACTGCCGTGAGAGGTGTCAGGGACTTCCCTCTGCTCCCCATGCCCTTTTGTCATTGACTCTGGTGAGCTCCAGAGGATAGGCACCTGAATGATGCTTAATCAAAGCAACAGATCACTGAAAACACAGATTTGAGATGTCAGTTATAGTTTTTCCCTAATAGTTTTTTTTTAAAGCTTTCTTCCAGAAGCCACATAAAACTGGCACAAGTCTCATATCATGCTTTGGGAAATACTGAACTAGTTTCACCTATCATATTGTAGACATAGAGACAGGACCCAGAGAGGCTGTCACTCCCCTCAAGGATGTACAGCAAGGCAGTGATGGAACCAGGCTAGAACCAGCTTCCTACTCCTAACCCAGGGCTCCAAATTCTTGACAATGATGATTGATGGTGGTGATAATAACAACTAAAGTTTTTTTTGAGTCCTATTACATAGCAGACCTTGTCTTTAGCACTTTGTGGATGTGAATTTTGAATTTTCAAGAACCTTATGAGGAAAGTACTGTTATTCCCTCTATTTGACAAACTGAGGCACACAGCAATTCAGAGACCTGTCCAAGGTCCTGATAACGGGAGAGGGGGAAAATCTTGGCTCTCACCTCCTTTCTCCAGCCTGAAAGTCAGTTTTTACCCAAGAATAATTGGACAGAGAGGGGGCCCTGGGCTGACAGCCCATGGAAGCATAGCTGCAGGGGGCTGGGGCAGGGAAGTTTTGAGAACTCAATCGACCAAGGGGGAGCCCTGGGGGCAGTGCCAGGAGTCCCCTCCCTCAGAGACCACCTCCTTCATTATCTCTTCCTGCTTCCCTCTGACTTCCCCCAGTGAGAATCTTGAGCCTGTCACCCCCTGGTGCTGGGGAGATCTTTAAGCACAGAGCAAAAGACAGTGCTGGACCAAGCCCTGGACCACTCTCAGCCCCCGAGAGGAGGGGAGTGAAGTCCTGAAGTAGAGGCACCTTTAGAGGCCATTCCATCCAGCGGTTTGCATCAGTTTGTAGGCTGTGGAACCACTTTAAAAAAAAAAAAACAACCATATCTCAACAGGAAATCTCATCTAAGACAGTGAAAAGGGGAAGTTACTCTGTGCTCTAGATAAAAGGAGGTGGCAGGAGGAAGTCCACCTCTGAAGAGTCACCAGGACACATTTTGAAAACCACTGGTTGAGTCAGTAGGACAGATGAGGAAACCGAGGGGCCAAAGAGGGGAAGGGATGAGCCCCAAGGCATCCAGCAGGCCCACAGGAACCTCCCAGGTGCCTGAGCAGCATCTTCCCATGGGAGAGTCCTCTGGGCTCTCCCTAACCTCCACACTAAATTCTGAACCCATGCATGTCTCTAAAACCCCAGCTGCTGCCCACTCTGCTCCACCATGACCGCTGGTTTGAACCTTGCATTTGACCCTCCCCAAGGCTTTCCTGCCTGCCACTCTGGCTTCCCTCCACTCACTCCCCACATGGCAGCCAGACAGATCTCTCTAACATGTCCATCAGCTCTTGTTATTAATCCTGCTCTGCTTGAAATCCTCCAATAACTTCCCCATAGACTTGGGACAAAATCTCAAGTCTTCCCCCCAGGTGACAAGGCGCTGCCTGACCAGCCTTCACAGCCTAGCTGACTTTCATGCCCACCTCTCCCTCCCCCACCTCAGCAGGCTCAAGGCTGGACCTTCTTTCCAGTCTCACCACCTCTGTCCTTCCTTCAGATCTACTTAGGAGTAGCTCCAATACCTCCATCCCTTCCTCAGAAAGGCCCTCTCTACCCACAGTCCTGCCCACCCACACCCACCCACTTTGTGTGGAGGAATTACAGGAATCACAGAATCTCAAGATAGGGCTCTTCTGTTCCAGGAGGTTGCATCCTATTTGAGGACAACTTCAGTTCCTCCAACATCTGAGTGCCTCCTCTGGGCCCTGCACGGGACTGGACACTGGAGATGAATATAAATAAGACATGATTTCTGCCATCATAGATGGCTGGTGGGAGAGAGGTACACATGTCTGTGAGGTGCTTCTTGTTAGTTTACTCACAGCTGGAAAATGTTGTTGTGAAAGTCAAGGCAAGAAAGAGGACTGAGTCAGGACAGAGGCAATGGCTGTGAAGTTGACGTTAAAGGGATAGATTGAATAGATTGGGTACCTGGAAGTTCGAGAAATGAGGGAAATCTGTCATTATTGAAGGAAATTTAGAAAATGCACAAATGCAAAATGAAAATATGCTATCCATAGTCCCAGGGCTTCCTTGGTGGCTCAATGGTTAAAAAAAAAAAAAAAATGCCTGCCAACATAGGACACATGGGTTCCATCCCTGGGTTGGGAAGATCCCCTGGGAAAGGAAATAGCAACCCATTCCAGTATTCTTGCCTGGGGGGAAACCCATGGACAGAGGAGCCTGGCGGGCTACAGTTCGTGGGGTCTACAGTTCGTGGGGTCGTAAAAGAGTCATACATGACTGAGTGACTAAACAACTGTCTTCACATCATCTTGCATCTTGTTTGTGTCTGCCTGTCTGTCTTGAATGGACATTCCGGGAGAGCAGGGACCGGGTATTGACTGCTGTAGCTATCGCCAGCACCCAGGACAGGCCCAGCATACAGTAGGCACTCAATAAATGCCTTTGGACTCAGGGAAGAGGCATTTGGTCAGCCCCTGCTCCCACACAGGCTCCCCCTCCCCTTGAGGCAGCACCACCCCCCACTTCAAGCTCCAGCGAGTCCCCGCAGGGTCCCAGAGATAAAGAGATGAGGAAGGAAAAAGTGAAAAGGGCAGGCTCTCTCTGCTGCATAATTGACTTTGAAAGGTCAGGGCTGAGTCCCAGCTTAGTAAATCCTACCCCCTGTGGGGTCCTCTGAGACAGAAGGGCTGCCCACACCACAGACTCGAAGACACTCCTGGATCCTGTGGAGATGGGAGGGAGGGGGCTTGCTGCTGACTGGAAAAGTGCAATCTGGTCCCTCCCTTTGAACTGAACCACCCCTCCTTCAGCCTGGAACTAATCACTCAAAACATTTCTCTCTCTCTGCCCTGGGTCTCTCCTTCAGCCTGTAACACCAAGGGAGTTACTTCTCCTTCAGGAGCCTCAGTTTCCCCTTCTGCATGAAGGGGAGGTGGGGCACAACTTTTATACCAGTCACATCACAGATAGAAAAATCTTTGGGACTTCCTGGTGGTCCAGTGGTTAAGGCTCCTCGCTTCCACTGCAGGGGGTGTGGGTTTGATCCCTGGTCTGGGGAACTAAGATCCTGCATGCTGCATGGCATGCCCCCCCCCCCCAAAAAAAAAACACACAGAAGAAAATATCAATTCAATACAAACTCTTACAGAAAATTGTAGAGGATGAAACATCTCCCAACTTATTCACAGGGAACTATATTCAATATCCTGTGAGAAATGAAATATTTCCTGCTGTATCAATAAACAAGGATGTCACAGTCACCAGCAGCTGTGGCCACAATGGATGGTGTGCTGGTGAGCCTTGAGGGAACTCAGGAAGGAAAGAATACCTGCCATCTAGCAGCCATCAGACTGCAACCACTCCCCATGGCGAGTCCCCCCTACCCCTAGGAAGCTCAGGATGTGAAAACACAGGATACTGGCCTCAGATAGCTGAGGTGCGAATCAAAGGAATGATTTCATTGAGCCCAGACTCTTACATCTTCCCATAATACATAGAAAAGCGCTAAATTCCTCAACTTGGGATATCTGGTTTTCTTTAATTGACAATAATCTTCTGATGTTCAGACTACCCGCCCTTTGTTGCAAAACATCTATATAACCTGGCTCCTTGGAGCATGTTTTCCCAGGGTGACTTGAGATGCTGACTGCCAGGCTTGAAGTCCTAAAAATCCTCACCCAGTAAAATGTAACTTAACTCTCAACTTTTAGGTTATGAATAATTTTGTGTGTGAATATTTTCTTGACTCCACATCTGTGACAAACCATAATGGAAAGAATATTTAAAAAACAAGAATGTGTATAACTGAGTCACTTTGCCATATAGCAGAGATGGGCACAACATTGTCAATCAACTACTGTTGTTGTTCAGTTGCTAAGTCGTGTCCGGCCCTTGTAACCCCATGGACTGCAGCATGCCAGGCTCCTCTGTCTGTCGTCTACCATCTCCTGGAGTTTGCTCACATTCATGTCCATTGAGTCAGTGATGCTATCTAACAGCACCAAAACCAACTATCCTTCAACTTGAAAAATAAAATTAATTTTAAAGAAAGAAACAAAATCCTTGGTAGAGGTGATATCATCTATAAATTGAGCAGTGTTTGAACAATTATTACTATTCCACAGGCACTGCGGAGCTGACATGAGAAATGAACCAGTTCATAATGAGAGGAGGCGCTTAGAGTGGAGAAATTCCCTTTGTCCCACCCTCTCAAGAACCCCCCAGTTCTTCTGAGGCTGGGGTGGGTACACAGGCCGGAGACTGATTTCCTGCAGACAAAGGAAATGCACTTCCCATTGCTAATTTCCTCCAGGGGCAACCAGTAGGACACTCGCCCCTCCCTCCTCCTCTCCTTCTTCAACCCACCTGCTTCTTGGGGGATGCTAGGCGTGGGGGGAGGGGCATCAAGCCCTCTCGTCTCCCCCACCTGAGATCTGCCCAACATCAACCCCCCCACACAAAGATACCAACAAGGCAGTTAGCTGTCTAAGTCACATGACATGTCAAGGCTGCCTAGATCAGTCGTTCTTAACGAAAAAGAATGTTTTCTCTCTTCCCTCCCTGCACTCTTGTAATTTTTTCTCAAGTCTTTCTGAGGTTCTCAGCCCTCTTCGAGACTCTGCTGAAAAACCCACAGACTCTCTCACCACCGGAAGGCAAGTGACCTCGGGGGTCTTGCGTGCCCCTCCATCACCTGACTCCCTTGCCCAGCACTCTCTCCCCCAAGCCCACACCCCCCACAACTCCTGGTCCCTGCTGGTCCCTCTCAGAGGGCCAGGGAAGAGAGATAAGTTGGGAATGTGGAGCAATAGTGGGGTGACAGAAAGGACTGTCAGACCCCTGACCCTACTTTGCACAGTCTCAGCTGCTCAAGCCAGCTTCTCAGTCCAGCAAGGCTGAAGGCTTGGGGCTAGGGGCTTGAAAGGGCAAGAGAGAGAGGTAATACAGCCCCCACACCCCCGTCACTCACCAGCCTTGTCCTAGAAGCCTCCAGGTCACCTCTCACTCCCCACTTCCCTCCTCTGAAGGCTCCTGCTCCCCTGTCAGCCCCGTGGGGACCAGTCAGCTCCGGTTGGTCTGCTCATTAGGGGAACGAAATGTGATCACAGAGCCTCGCTCCCCACCTGGCGCCTTGGCGGCTGGCCGGCGGAAACCGGGGACAGTCAGGCCACCGTGACCACTCTGCTGGCCTCAGTTTCCCCATTTCTACCGAAGGGATACCCATCCCCCCACACATGTCCCCCACACCACCCAGAGGGACACCAGGGAGGGTCCTGACTCTACTCCTCGAATGGTCTAGATTCCCAAGGCTCTCAGATCCTCAGGTTCTATTGTTAGTCCAGGCCATGGTTTACTGTTCTATTATTATAACCTTTTAGAGCTTTACCTTCCTTCCATTCTATTATTATTATTATGGCGGCTTCCACACCCTTACCCTTCTAGGTTTCCAATATCCCAGGAAATTCACATTCCAGGATTCTCAAGTTCTATTGTTAGAACGCTCTATGCTTTAAAAAAAAAAAATTGTACAACTTTCATAATCTATTATTAAACTCTCAGTGATCATTACCTTTGCCCACCAAACACGAATCTGTATTTCCCCTTTCTTTTTTACAGATATGGTGAACCCCATTTCCTTTTTCTCCCTTTATCTCTTCTGGTTTGTGTTGTGTTTTTTTTTTTTTTACATTCCAGCAGCCTGAAGTTCTAAAATTGTGCAGAATTGTAAAATACTAAGAATTCAATGTTGGCAGGGGGTGGGTAGTCACATTTACCTGGCCCCTAAATTCTTTCCCCCTGGTGGGGACACTAAGAGCCCAGGCTGCCTCTCTATACCTGGCCCAGAAACTTTGTCTCATCCCACCCCACTGGATCACATACTGGCTGAGGCTGAGTTATTATTTGTCTAGACACAAAGCAAATTATAGGCCGCGTCCTGCAAGAGCAGTGGGCTTCATGGGGAGGGTCAGAAGACAGAGTCAGGCGGGGGGTGAATCTCTGCCCCCTCTCCCCACCTCCCCTCTTCTCTTCCCTCCTTCTCTGAGATTCCACCCCTTCCACTCCAACCAACTCTTATCCCCTCTCCCTCTCCACCACCGTGGCTTTAGAAATATTTTTTCTCCTCTGCTTCTAAAAAAACACTCCCTCCTGGGTTCCAGCCGTTCACACTTAGCCTGGCATTCTTCCCTCTTCCCTGTGAAGACCTCCTTCCCCACATTAATCTTAGGTAGTGGCAGCAAAAGAAGCCACTTCTTTGGACTTGGGCTTCAGTGGAACCGGAGTCCCAACCCAGCCTGAAACTGATTCACCTTGGGGACCTCTACACTTGGGCCTCAGTTTCCCCATCTCTGAAATGGGGGGGTTGGTCTAGCTGGCTCTGACAGCACTTTTGAGCTCTTGACTGCAACCACTGAAAACTGCCAATATTCCAAAGCCCATCTTTTTGGACTGAAGGATTCAAATACCCCAAGACCTTTAACTTGAAGGTTTGAGCTCTCCCAATCTTCCTTTCGGATCATTCTTACATACTTGGATCCTTTCATGCAAAGACTTCACATTCAAAACTGATGATACTCTAATTAAAAAATTAATTAAAAAAGAGTTCACATTCAAAACTTCTTGATTCCCAGAGTTTTGGAGCTCCCCCCGCCCCAAGAAAAAAACTATCAATCTCTCTCATTTTCTCCTACTGAAGCCCCGCCCAGAGAGGACAACCTCCCCATCCTCACCCCAAACCTGAAGTCAGGCTCATCCACAGAGACAGTGTTGGGGGGCCCTTGGTGAATTCTTCCCCAGTGGTTTAGCGGTAAAGATTCTGCCTGCAGTGCAGGAGAAGCAGGAGATGTGGGTTTGATCCCTGGAGGGGAGGATCTCCTGGAGAAGAAAACGGCAACCCACTCCAATATTCTTGCCTGGAAAATCCCATGAACAGTAGAGCCTGGCGGGCTACAGTCAACCGGGTCGCAAAGAGTCAGACACAACTGAGCACGCAGGGACACACTGGTGAGTTCGAGAGAAGTGTGGCTGGTGGAGGGCCCTGGTTGGGGGTGAGGAGGGGTGTGGCCCCCATCATCTTTATCTCTGCCCTCCAGAAAATCCCCCAGACCTCATCCCACCTGAGTATATATGACATTCATTCCACAACCAGCATCTCACAGAAATTCCAGAGCTGTCCTTCAGGGTGGTTGAAGCGGGGGCTGGGGGTTCGGGGATGAAGCCACGGCAGGAAGGAGTTAATGGGTGACCCAGCCAAATCCTGGACTGGAGGAAGTTGGGGAGGAAGTTCACCCCCTCCCCCAGCCAGGAATTCCTGAAATTGGAGGGTGGGGTGGGGGCGACCTCCAGAGCAGTGGGGTGACTCTGTTAAGGGGGAGCCCAGGTCACAGGGGTCCTCAAAGTCCACCTGCCCCAGGTGGTAATCCTACTGCCCCCTACCCGACTCCCAAGAAGATCCTCAGCCCAGGGGAAAGTTGGAGAAGGATGACGACGGAGTGAAGTTGCCAGAACCGGGTCTAAGATACGTGGAGACAGAGACAGAGGCATACGGAGAGATAGAGAGACAGGAAGAAAAAAGGCGAAGAGATGCCCAGAAACGGGGAGACGGAGGCAAAGAAATCCGTATAGACTGAGAGTTCATCAAGACCCAGGGATACAGGCAAACGGAGTGAGAGAGAGACGGAGAGGCAGAGATAAAAGATACCGACACAGAGACATCGAGATGGCGAAGGGGAGACACGAGCAGAGGGAGAGGGACCGCAGATCCAGAGAGACATCAGAGACCGACGGAGAGATGGAAACAGACCCAGAGACAAAGTCAGCCGCGGAGACGCAGGGAGAGCCAGCCTCAGAGAGGGGCGGGGACCGAGGCCACGCGGGAGACTGAGGCAGCGGACGGACGCGGGGACTAGCGGCCGCCGGCGGCCGCGGGACCTGCGCGGACCGGGGAGGAACCGGCGCCTACCTGCGCGGGGCGGCTGGACGGGGCGGGCGGCGCCTCTCCCTGCGGCTGGGGGATCCGGGCTCCGCGGCGGCGCAGGGACCCGGCGGCGACTCCTCCCGGCCCCGGGCCAGAGCCACCAGCCGAGGCCCCGCCCCGCCCCGACCGGGCCCGCCCCCGTTAACTCCTCCATTATCGCTCCCCCTTAACCCCTTCACCCCACTAAAGCCTTCCAGCTCTGGAGAAACCTCACCTGCTGGTGAAACACCCCCGAGTCCTTCAACGTCCCCAGCCTGGAAGCCTCCATCTCATAAATTCCTTTGCTTACCCTCTCTCCAACCCTGCACTCCAACTAGATCAAGCCTTAAGCTTTGAGGAAGTGGGGGACGGGGGTTTAGGGAGACCCCAGACCCAAGTCATTAACTTTGTGGTCACTGCACTCCCACTTCCCCAAGGGAGAGAAAGAGGGGTCTGTTAGTTCCCCATGCCCATGGTCAGGGCCACCCCTGGAAGGAATCTCTCTTGGGGTTTCCAGCTCCAGCCCTGTCTCTTGCCCAGACTTAGGCTGGCGACCTTTGTGTGCCTCTGTTTCCTCTTCTGATCGTGTGGTCTCTCATAGTCCTTTTATCATGAGGATGTCATACTATAAAGTCTGTAAAACATGACACCCCCCACCCACGATTTCCTTTCTCCCTGCTTTATTTGCTTTTCCCCATAGAAAGTGTCCCAACAGTCTGTGTATTCCACTTCTTTTGTTGTTGTTTTTCTAATTATCTGCCTTCCCACTAGGAGGAGTGTCATTTTTCTGTTTGGTTACTTTACTACACAATACATGTGCAATACACGTTGTTTTCAAGGAGTAAGTACATAAATGTTAAGTGCTGCAAAAATATTTGCTGATTTTTATGTTATCATGATCTCCTTCATAAACTGATCCATTCTTAGGCAAAGCACTTTGGACAGACTTGGGATGTAACACTCAAAAGTGACAACTAATAAAAAATATATATACATATATTTTTTTTTTTTTTAGGAAAAAGGGACAGCTAGGACTTCCTTGGTGGTTCAGTGGCTAAGACTCTGAGCTGCCAATGCAGGGAGCCTGGGTTCGATCTCTGGTCAGGGGGCTAGATCCCATACTTGGCAACTAAGACCTGGCACAGTGTGGGGGAAAAAAAAGTGACAGCTATCGGGCTTGCAAATTCTTTTTTGTTTATTTATTATTCTTTTATTATAATAATTATTGGGGCTTCCTCAGTGGCTCAGCTGGTAAAGAACCCATCCGCCAATGCCAGAGATGCAAGAGACAAGGGTTCAATCCCTGGGTGGGGAAGATCCCCTGGAGAAGGAAATGGTAACCCACTCCAGTATTCTTGCCTGGAAAATTCCGTGGACAGGGGAGGCTGGCAGGCTACAGCCCATGGGGTCGCAGAATCAGACATGACTGGGCGCGCACGCACGTGCACACTCTCACACACACACACAATGATAATTATTATTTTGGCTACTCTGGGTCTTCATTGTGGTGTGAGGGCTTCTCTAGTTGAGGTGTGCTGACTTAGTTGCCCCATGGCATGTGGGATCCTAGTTCCCTGACCAGGCATGCAACCTGCTTCCCCTGCATTGGAAGGCTGATTTTTAACAACTGGACCACCAGGGAAATCCCTGTTTATTTATTTTGAGAATAAAAATGCCGGGATCTTAAGGGAGCAGCCCAATAAGTTGTGACAAACAGATACACCCATGTGACTAAGCACCCAAATTAAAACATAAACATTTCCATCACCAGCGACCACTGTTTTGTTTGGGTTTTTTGCTCCTTTCCAGGGCACTCACTCTCTACTTTACCCCCAGAGACACTCCATGCCTTTTTTTTTTTACTGGAAATGAGTTTTGCCTGTTCTAGAACTTCATAGAAATGAAATGAAACAGTTCTGTTCTGCGTTGTTTAAGGTAGTTATTATAATCATTCACTGTGTGGTCTTGGACAAGTGACTTCACCTCTCTGAACCATAGTACCCCTTTCCTCTCAGAGCTCTGGAGGGAAATAGAAAGTAAGAGTTAACCAAGCACCCAAGTGACCTGAAATGCACACAGGAATAAAAGCTTTTTGCTTCTACCCTCTCTCAAGGGGACAGGCAGAGACATACCCATGGAAGTGTCATGAAGAATTTAGCCCCTCTTCACAAATAACCCCATGTAAAGTTTATCAGCTTTCAGACAAGTCCTCCCATCAGCTCCTTGGCCATCCCAAGGTCCTTCTAAAGAGAAACTCTGAGGTGCCCTGGTGGGCGAGGGTCCCCTTCTCTCATGGACTCACCCTAAGTTTATAATGTGATTCAGTTAGGATCCTGGCAGGAAACAGGTAGCCGTTCAAAGAGCTCATGTGCTGAATCGCTTCAGTAGTGCTGACTCTTTGCGACCCTATGGACTGTAACCTGCCAGACTCCGCTGTGCATGGGATTGCCATTCTCTTCTCCAGGGGGTCTTCCTGATTCAGGGGCCGAATCCAGATCTCCCACACTGCAGGAAGGTTCTTTACTGTCTGAGCCACAAGAGGAGCTGTAGCTCTAGATAGAGAACACATCCACTGGCAAAACTGCAGGGATGCAGAGAGAGGCCTGGGAAATAAATACTCCAACCTCTTCCCCCACTACTGACCTTCAGATTTCCTGTCAGTGCTTGTAACGGGAAGAACCCAACCAATGGACTCTCATGCGTGGAGTCCACACAGGGTACTCTCACAGTACCCAGAGCTGGAGGAGAAAGGCTGAGAGTGACCCTTAGGTGCACTGTGGAGAATCACCTGCACGCAGTTCAGTTCAGTTCATTCGCTCAGACGTGTCCGACTCTTTGTGACCCCATGGACCGCAGCATGCCGGGCCTCCCTGTCCATCACCAACTCCCGGAGCTTACCCAAACTCATGTCCAGTGAGTCGGTGATGCCATCCAACCATCTCATCCTCTGTTGTCCCCTTCTCCTCCGGCCTTCAATCTTTCCCAGCACCTGCACTATTCTCCCAGAACTTTCTATGCATATTTTTCCACGCAGGTCTGAGGCTGGGCACAAGGGGGCGACAGAGCACCAAGACCCAGGGAAAGGGATGCTTTGATGGAGCTGGACCACTTACTTCCCCAGAACTTGGACAGTAGGGAAGGGCCAAAAGGCTGGAGGACGGGAAAGCAGACTTTGATCCCAGGAAAGGAGAGTTTGATCGAAAACGTAGGGGTCTGGAGTCGGGATATGATTGCTGGACTCTGCCTATCGAATGGGAGTTGTCTGGGTGGACAAATTCAAAAGGCTATACCAGCAGGGAAGGAACAGCATGTGCTGAAGCTCAGAGGCATGAAATGTCACAGGGAAGGGCAAGTACCGGCGATTCAAATGGCTGGAGATAAGAGATGGGGACAGAAGAAGATGTTGGCTTAAAAAGGAAGAAACGAGGGAAAAATAAGGGCAGCTAACAATTAATGACCACTTACTACAGTCAAAGTACCATTCTAAGCACTTCATGTGAATAACTCAGACTGGAAACTGTATCTCTGCCTCTCCTAGTTCTCCAGCTTGCTGATTGACCCAGCAGATCTTGGGACTTGTCAGTTTCCACAATTGAGGGAACCAATTCCTTATAATATATAAACCCCACTGGCTCTGTTTGTCTGGGGTTTTCTCTAACTAATATACTACTTCAAAACTGAAACTAGATGTTATCAAGCAGGATATCCTATCACTAATTTAAGGACTTCTTTAGAATATCATCCCATACCTGAAGTACATTCAGCCCAGATGACAAAACTCATTGTGCTTATTAGGGCTTGTTAACTAGCCAAAGACCAGAGAGCAAACATACTTGTATATAAACAGCAGGTATAATTTGGAAATACTGTAGAAACAAAAGGGAATTTATAACCTTTTCCGGAATCCTCCTGAAAAAAATCTATATATGTGATAAAACTTCATACACACACATAGACACAAGAGGACATGTAAAACAGGTTAAATCTGAATAAGGTCTGTAGACTCACCAGGGCCAGTTTCCAAGTTTGCTAGTGTAGTATAGTTGCATAGGATGTTACCACCGGGGTAAACTGGATGAAGGGTATAGAGGACCTCTCTATTCTCTGTTGGCAACTTCCTCTGAGTCTATAGTTATTTCAGAATTGTTTAAGTAAAACCGCATACACACAGAGGTTTCTCAAAAAGTTAACAGAATTACCATATGGCCCAGTAATTCTACTCCTAGGTATATACCCCAGAGAAATGAAAACATATGTCCAAATAACATCTTGTATATGAATGTTTGGGCTCCCCAGGTGGCGCTAGCAGTAAAGAGTCCGCCTGCCAACACAGGAGATATAAGAGACATGGGTTCAATCCCTAAGTCAAGAAGATCCCCTGGAGGAGGGCATAACAACTCCAATATTCTTGCCTGGAGAATCCCATGGACAGAGGAGCTGTGTGGGCTACAGTTCATAGGGTCGCAAAAAGTCAAATGTAACCGAAGCAACTTAGCATCCATGCATACGTATGAATTTTTATCACAGCATTATTCACAACAGCAGAAGATGGAACCCAAACTTTCATCATGTGAGAACGGCTAACACCAAACTATGAGTCATAGCAAAATGGTTGTTGTTTTAAGCAATTAAGTTTTTTTAACTCTTTCAACTTTTTTTTTAAAGAAAGTATTTTATTTTTAATTACTTGGCTACACTGGATCTAGTTGCAGCATGTAGTATCTAATTCCCTGACCAGGTATCGAACCCAGGCCCCCACCATTGGAAACACAAAGTCCTAGCTACTAGACCACAAGGGAAGTCCTGCTAAACCATTAAATTTTGAAAAGCTTTGTTCTGAAACAATAGATACTGGGAACAGGGGTCTTCAAACTCTCAGAAACACTGCTAACCCTGCCCTCCAGCG